GCCGGTTTCGACTGAGAGCGACGAATCGGCAGGGTCTTCGCCATTATCGGATCTGACGTTCCCCGATTCAGCGGATTCGCCATGGGAACAACCTTCGGAAAGCTGTATGTTGCAGAAATATCCGTCTGAAATTGATTGGGCTTCGATTTTCACGTCTTGTTGATGTATTGATTGGTAAATTTGTAGGCGTCGTCTTTCGGGAGATTCTGCGACTAAGTTTTTGGCAGTCGGCAGAATCAGTTTCAGTTTCGGTTTCAGTTGTTTTTTAGAGTTATGAAAGTAAGGGAAGTGTTAATAGGAAAGGAAATCTCCACCGCCGCCATGGCCGGCGGCCAACTTTTTTTGAGCTGCTCGGCCGGCGGTGGATGTAGACGTTATTATTATTATTTTGCTGTAATTGGTAGATGTCAGCTCGCAGTACATTTCTGTAATTTTCTCTTAGTATTATTATTAATAATATTTAACTTTGTGTTGTTTTAGAATCCATTCTTAATTTTTGGAATTTTCTTTTATTGGAAATAATATATCGCTTTATTATTAACCCATAAACAAAGGAGCATCCAAATAAGAWATAGTTAAAACAATTTAAAGGTTTATGTACTTTTAATTTGATCTATTTCCTTTTTATTTTGAGGATGATATTCATTTGGTTGTAACTTAAAAAAAATATTATTGGCCTTATTAATACATTACTATCATATAGCTTATAAAATTATAGGAATTAAATTAAAATATTTAAAATTATAAAAAGAAAATTTTAATTAAAAATTTATCGTAAAATTAAAATAAAAACTAAGAAAATTTACATATTAGTAAAATGTTGTCATTTTGACTTCAGAAATTATTTGGAGAAACCATTTATAAATTTTAATGGTTTCATTTTCAAACTTATGAGAACCTTAAAAGATTGAATACAAATTAGATTYAAACGGTCAATTACATGAATTATAGTAAAGAACTCATAAATATTGAAGAACAATTGAATTAGTTTGAAGCGATGGAGAAAATGGTAATATTTGATACCCTCCCTTTGTGATTTTAAAATTTTATTTAAACAATTTAAGAATTTCAATTTCTTATTTTAAAAAATGAGCAAAAGTTGTGTTATTGACACGGACCACGTGGTCTGTCACCGACTCACCACTACTGCCTCAAAATTCAAGTTATGATTGTAAGAGTACAATATTTGTATATTTATTTCCATTTTTTTTAAATTGAAGGAAAGAAAATAAGAGAATTTTACTTTGCCATCAACAGTGTTAATTAAACTTCAATTTATATTAATTTTAGTTTTTGTGTGATTTGAGAAAACACAAACTCGATACTACATTTCTTAAATTTTATAGTTAGATTGATTAGAATTGGATGGGTAAAAAAATAAATGAGTAGAATTAGATATAAAAGTTTAATAGGCAAGTTAATTTGGGGACGAGTTAAAATTAAGAATAAAGTGTAGTTCATCCATAAGTCAAAATTTCATCGACCTAATATTCAAGAGTTCGTCGAGGAGACAAATAATTTAATATTTTAATTGAAAAAGCATATCGATAATTAGGAATTTTGAGGCATGAAACTTGCTTTCCGTAAATGCAAAGAAATAATGTTTTGAAGGAAAAGTAACACAAACCTTTTTCATAAAGTCCTCTCTTCTGTCTTTGTCAACCATACATAAGCGAATCAAAAATATTATACTGGACAGAAATGGAGTTGCCTTGAAAAACTTCAATACTACACTCATAAATGTTCAGACTAAACTTCAAAAGAGTAAAGGGAAAAAAAATAATCTAATTTTAACAAATACAATTCCTGTCAAATAGTCATATTTGCTCGAGGTGAGGAGTACAAACTAGCTAAAGAACGTTAGAAGAGAGAAGAAAGAAACCAAAACAGTTTTGATACAGTTTAGTTTCGTAAGAATCAACTTCGAATCTCCCACCCCGSTTGTTGTACTTATAAAGAAACTAACAATATAAGAATAAAACAAAAGCCGAGTCTTTTAGTAGTAACAAYGTTTCTATTCTTTATCAAGGAATGCAAAGGGAGAAGATATCATGACAACAACAAAAAGAGTCTACACATTAAAGTTAATATATAAATCCAAATTTTGGGGGRTGTGATCTAACAGATAACGAGAATCCTGTCTTCACCTCTGGAGTGGATATTCACATTTACGACAACAGTTAACAACTCGTAAAACTGTAAACAAATGGTTTTAAATATGAAACGAGGCAGGAGCTCGACCCAAGTCATCGACTGAGTAAAATCATGGCTACAAACTCCAATCATAATTTATCTAATACATCGTGCTGTACCATTGATCCTCTTGATTTGATCATGTCAAAATTGGAATTTGCTGCCAAGCTTTCCATAGCATCAACAACTCAAATAATTCAGTCAATTATCAGCTGAACTTACCAAGCTCCATCTTCTTCTTGATCACCTTCTGACCATGATATATAAATGAATCCAGTATTCCTGAGACAGTGAAGATGCCTGGACGGAACCGCCATAAAAGAATTCCTTGGTTAGTCATACCACTCAACAAACACAAACAAGTTCACACTTGAGCTCTAAAACAAAAGAAACTTTTACGCTTAAGAGGCATGGATGTTAGCTAAGAATGAAAAGTGAAAACTAAYTACAGTGCGATTGTCAAGTCTTAATTCCAAAACATTTGTATGTTTTCTTTTTTAGGGAAAGAAACAATTTCATTGATATTATAGAAACACATAGATGTTAATCCATATTCTTTATTAAGAAATGGTAATGTGGCACCTACCATCAATCAAATATAAAGATGCAATGAGGCTGCTACCAAATAAATGAAATAAAGAAATTCAAGGGGATAGGAGGGGAGTTTGCTTACCTCCAACTATAGCGCATACGTTTGTTAAGAAATGCAGGAATGACACATGCTCCTCTGTGAATGTGACCTGTAACGTGCAAAACAAATCAGTTCCAAGAGTAACGAAGAATAAATCTGCTGTTTTATCACAAAGTAAACATGTAAGAAAAACCAACCTTGATTGGAGAGAGGTCATAGAAAAAGAAAACTGCAGGAAGTGACTGAAGGCGTCCAATGTCAGCACTCTTTACGTGTTCTGTGACAGAGAACTGCAGTAACCCATTGCTCGCATCTTTATGGGATTGCTCAAATATATAAACATATGTGTAGTAACAATTGTATGAAAATCAGATTTCAGATTTTAGGAATATCTATAACCTGGTTTGACTGGATGGTATTCCCACTAATGTGCTTGTAAACAGTAGGTACAACCTGCCAAAGAAAAAACAAAGACATAACAACTGAGACTCCTGTTCTACAAGGGATTCATGAGATATATGGTATATCCTCAGTACACTTAAACATAACTTACATTAAATCGTGAAAGAAAACCATGAGGAAGTAATGTTACAGCTTCCATTAAGTAAGGTAAAAAATTAAAGCCGCATCTAACCCAAAAACTAACCTTGATAAAGTATTGATATGTTGCACTTGGCGTTTCTTGCCTCCATTGCACGCTGCACAATTGAAAAATTAAATATATAAGATAAATTAAAATAAGGTCTAGGATATCCAAAGATAGGAATCAAGGTCATAGTACAAGGAATCTCCATTGTTCACTAGGAGCTCCAAGAAAAGAAGTGAAAGCCCACCTATCCAGAGGATTCACCACGCCAGGGAAATATTCTCCAAAAGTTAATCTGTTAATCTTGTGACTTATCTGTGTCAGAAAGTGCAATTAAGTTAGATTGATAATCTAAAAACCCAAACTGACACACGTAGGTTGTTTATTATAATAAATGACAATCCACGTCAACACCATTTCTTACATTGAAGCTGTCTTTTTGGAATGCCAACACATCATGTACATGAACATTTGACTGTTGAAAGCTTTTCCCAGGCGCAAAGTGAAAATTTCCAGCGACCTTATTAACTTCCAAAAATCCATATATGTTGCATCCTTCACCATCCTCATCTTTGATCCTTTGGAGAAACCCTTCTCTTTTGCACTGGACTCCAAAATCATTTATAAAAATATGATAATAAATATAAAAAGATGAGCCTTAAAATTGTCCTATTAACAGAAAACTGAAATCCCTAGGGAACCAGGCATATCTTACTGATAATGTTATTCCAGTTGACAGTAAGGGAGAAAGACCAATGTTCTTAGCATACTGAAGAAAATGAGACTCTTTGCAGACAACCAAGACCAAATAATAGTGGAAGCAAAAATAATGCTAGTAATACCCAGTGGTCCATTAATGAAAATAATAAGGAATCATCCAAAAGATACAATAAATTGAAAATCTAAAAAGATTGATTATCCTCGAATAGCACATGCATCGGTAGAAAGTTCTCTAAGATTGCCTAAGACCTCTGGGTTGTACGTATCTAAAAAAATAGGTTTCAAGCTATGTTCCTCAGAAAATAARATTTAAATTATGGGTAACTATTGGGTTTTTATGCTTTTAAGATCAGATGCAAAAGTTCTCATGTATCTTAAGAAGTTATATCGCATAATGGATATTGAAGAATTAAAAAACTTAATTATGGCCAAGTAAGTCAAAAGTTCATCCAACATTAAAGGGTAGATATCACCGATGTCAATTGTTGGTGAAGCTATGCATAAGATATTTATATTTTAATAAAGTTCAAACTTCTAAAAATAACTTAGTGTAAATGCTCCCCTCTTTTTCATTATCATAGCTTCCCCTTTCTCCTCTCATTCAATTGGAGAGGTTCTCTATAACTCCCTTGATTGAGATTTTCCTTTTTTTTTTTAGTAACACGTGAGGGTGAGGGATCGAACTCACAACTTTTTGGTTGGAGATATATGCTAATTACCACTGTGACCTATGCTTGCTTTAGGATGAGATTTTCCCTTCGTTTGTAATATCATACCACAAATGAAATTGTTTCTCATTTAAAAAAAATCTAAAATAAAAATGTCTTAATAAGAAAATTTAAACACTATGGTCACACATTAGAGTAATGAGGATATGGATATATGTGAATATACATACAGGTCCATTAACTCTTGATACTTTAACGAACTTGAAAGTCAACTTCAAAATCGTAAGGATAAAGGAATATAAATAAGGAGCCCCTGTCCTCACAAACCTGGTCAATCAAATCTGGATTTGACACAGCCCAACCTTTCGTTCGATAAGCTTCACGAACCTCTTCACATGAGTTGCAACAATCATCATCTGTCTGCAAACATTAAAGATAAGAAAAGGTAAGTGAATAAATTGAGAGAACGGGAAGAGGGGGGATGTAGCACCCAATAAGTTAATCTTAAATGAGAAACAAGATAAAATATTGAATTGCACCAAGTCACCTGTAAAAGGGAAGAAGAAAGATAGGAAGAAAACTTGCAAAAAAAAAAAAAAAAAAAAAAAAAAAAAGAGAACACTCGAGATGAACCAATGGCCTACGGGTTAATTCACTAAGTCCAAATGTCCAATTCCATATTTTCAAGAATTGAGTAGAAGCAAAGAAAAGTGGCAACTGTGCAATGACCATATGATATATATTCACTTATTGCACAATCAACCACCAAACAGATTCATCGACTTCTATAAAATTTCCTGATAGATTACTGGTTTAGAGSTATGCCATGCAACAAGGAAACAATATTCAACATTTACTTGTATCAGAGAAAAGATCATACTGATTCAGCTCCATAGCAGGAACCACAATATGTCTCGTTATGCTCAAGCCTGCCACCATGTCTCTGTAAGGGCTTCTCTAGCTGTGCCAAAGTAAAATAATAATAAATAAATAAATAACAGCAGTAGCCTCTAATTGACAAACAACACACATATGGGGTGGGAGCAGTTTTATTGATTGGAATTTAAAGATTAAACAGTTGAAAATGTCCATTGATAGAGAAATTTGCATCACAACAGAGCTAGAAAATTAAAATTGGGAACAAAAACTGCCACAAATTAAGATATTTAAAATACCTGCTGGCCTCTTTTCAAAAATAGTTATATGTAGTAAAACTTCAAAATGTGCTGTCTAGCATTACAAGCACTGCCAATTCTTATCTGCCCATTACCCAAAAACTCAAAGAATCCCTTCACATTAAACATGCATGCATTTGAAAAGCATCATATCACGTTGCATTCAGTCCATCCTATCAGTTATTTCTCATCCTCTTAGTTTGCTTGGATTGTGGACTAAGCACAATAGCATTTTCTTTCTCATCCTATTAATTTACCTTCTTTTCATTTTTTCATTTTTTATTTTTACAAAAAAAGAAGTCTCTTCAACTTCAATGCATGTTCCCCATTGAGAGAAAAATTTGTATTGCTGATACAATATTTCATCATCTAGCTGCAGGAGTTTTCCCGAGTTAGAGTTACATTCTCATAATGAAATACTTTGCATGCAAATAGTCTTGTGGTGAAGGAGGTGTTGCAAATAAAGCACTCTTGGTTGGTTTTGGATTGGTCTCACACTCAGTAAAACTAACCACAGAGGCACAGATATCAATTATCACTTCCGTGAAATTGATGCCAATATAGAAATGGTTACATACAATCCAAACCACAATCAACGTGATGAGATGAGAGAGTTCATGTTTATTGAACTATCGCCCCTAATGTAACATGAATGAAATTAGGTCCATATGGTCCAACAAATGACCAGAGAGAGAGGAATAAATAGAAGAAAATTACCTTAGGAGCACCAATCCCATCTGGTCTAGATTCAATAGCATTGCCATGAGAGTCCAATCTTTTCTTGATTATGTCATGCTTCTGCATACATGGAAAAACAACATGAAAATATTGCACGACATGCACACRACATTTGCATACACATCCCGACTCCAAATAATTTACATATTCTGAATAAGGTGAGAAAAGGATAATATCCATACGCACCACATCTAGGTGTTGCTCTCCACTGATGTCCATCGCATCAAGACTTAATATAGAACAAGGAAGGGCAGGAAACGTAACATCAAACTGCAAATAAAGATGGGAAAAAGCATATAATTTAGCAGAACAAATCGATCCATAACATTGAAGCATCCAGAGAGAATGCGTCGCATAATTACACTTGGGAGAACAACATAGAAGAGGAATTGACATTTCCATACTTATTATTCTCCAGTTGGAGAGAGAATAATAACATGCAATAMATGCTTCAGAATAATGAGCTTATAAACASAACATCTGTACAAAATTAGAATATGGTAAGTTACATTGATGCGTAGGGTTTCTCCTCTTGATGTATCAACTACGAGCTTTGTTTCAGTCACGGCATGRAGATACAACCCTACAACCAATGGTTGTTCAAGCTTATTAGCAGTTAGCAAAAGCAAATAAATGAATTATATACTCAAACAGCAATGGAATAGCAACTAAACAGAAAATTAAATGAACTGTTACTAAACGTTAGAACTCCAAAAGACCTTAATCAGGGGCCGAGTCGAGAAGTTTTTAAGGAGGGACAAAATTTTAGATGCACCTAACTCCCCTCCTTTCTTCGCTCGCCCTTGACTTAAAAATACTAGCCATGCTGTATTAATACCCTTCATCAGCAGCTGGCAGCAAGTTCTAATGATAATATAATCCATGACCATGATAAAGAATATATGAACTAAGTTCTGATGATAATATATAAGGCAGACAGGGGCTTGCCCAATGCAGCCGGGGAGTCAATAATGTATACACTGAACAACAACGGGGAAGCGCTAAACATCAATCAAAGCTCGAATAACAAAACAGAGTAAGCAGATTCTAGACAAAAAAATACAATTGAATTGTAATACGCATTATGGTAAGAACTTGATTCAGCAACAGATGTACGGAGAAAACAAGGAGGCACATGATAGAGAGGGAAACATACGTAGCTCGGAAATGAATAGCAAGATCATGACTACAGAAGACGCAAGCGTAATAACGCCACCGGAGAGTGTTCGGCTGTAGAAATCCTCATTAATTTTAGGGTAAGCGTCCAAGTTTCGAAGTTTGCTGATCATATTATCCATGTCCGGCCTCCAATTTCCGATCCCACACAGCAGCGAAGGAGATAGAGATCCCGGTCCTCGATCAATCGGAAGGGGTAATACGCGTAGCGCCTCTAATTCCCAAGCAAAATTGAAGAACTCAACCAGGAACAGGAAGAGGAACAGGAACAGGAACAGGGATGAGATCAATGGAGGATAATTTTTAAAAATCCAACCCCCCAGCGATAGAGAAACGGAAAATGACGAGAATTAAACCAAACGGAGACTTGGCGGAGACCCCTTAATTTCTCGGATTCTGTAGGGAAAAAGATCCAGAACAGAATTCGAGCTCGGTATTTCCCGGGATGTAGGGGTTCGGTCTTCGTCTCCGATTGGAAAATCTGCAGACCTTCGGAATTTATTTATTTATTTATAATGCCCTCTGTTTTGTTTTTTGTTTTTCTAAACCAGAAAATACCCTATTTTTTCTCCACAAAACGCCTAATTCTAAAAAAGACACATTTTTCTAGTGTCATCAAAATAAAAATATAGCTTTTGTTTCAATTCATTTTCTGAAATAATTGTAATCAAGCTATTTGATTGTTTCACAATATATTATTACATTTCCGTTTACAAAACATTTCGTTTTTTACTTTTTTATTTTTAAAAATTATACTTAGTTTAGTTTTGTTTTGTTTGAGTATGTTTTAATCTTTTYCAAAAACACATTTAAATTCCTAACCAAATTTCAAAAATAAAAATTAGTTTGTGAAAAACTACTTTTTATTGTATTTAAATTTTAGCTTAGATTTTGAAAATATTTTTTAAAAGTAGATGTAAAATAAAGAAATAAATAAAAATAGTGTTTGCTAACTTAATTTTAAAAAACGGATAATAGAATTTTATGTTATCAAACAGAAACTAAAGTTGATGTTTTTCTTTTTCTTTTTCTCCCCATTTTTTCCATTTTAGTATTATCGTTTGCTGGATATAATGGGCCCAATTATCGTGGTGCGGTATATGGACCCATGCAATCTAGAAATGGGCCTTTCTAAGCCCACAAATCAGAAAACTGGCCCATTGTTCTGTCCAAATTTACATGGCCACTGTAGGAGTGGGCCACTTGAAGCCCACAATTCGTATATTAGAAAATCACCGGCCCGTTAAATTTTAATCTGTCTAAAATGGTAAAAGAGAAAAAGAAAAAGCTAGCATAGCACTACTTTATTGATTTCATTAATATTTAAACACATTTTCAATTCGCTGATGCAATTCAATAGTTTATAAAAGGGTAATTTCCACAATAATTATTTTTAATTCTTGATCAAACTATTTTGTTTGGTTTATTATCACGGTAGGATTAGTTAATCTCACATACCACATAAATTAAAACTACACGAATCTAGATATATGTTTTTTTGGGTGTGTGACAATTTCTCAAGATGAGCAATCGAATTTGCATACATATGCACGAAGCTGGCGTTGATGGTGTAGTACCCAGCTAACGGTTACTAAGTACAATCACAAGATTTTAAGCATAAGATCTACAATAGTGAGTGAATGAGCGAGAATGAATTTATATGGTGTTTATTTAGATAAAAATAGGTGAAGTTTTAAAGTAGATGCACGAGATCATAACTAAAATAGTTTTCATCTATCGAGCATTTACTAGGTAAGAGTCGCAAGTCCCATTGAATAGTCGGTTTGCATTTGGGCCTTAGTTTTGTTCCACGACATATACCTAAATTTTGATTTTTAGACTTAGGTTTTGAATGTCTATATAGTTTTGGAAGTATGTAGTGACAATTGTCCCATGAAGACTCGCTTTCGCTACGGCTCCGATGGGTTCCCTTAACCAAGCCACTGCCTATGAGTCGTCGGCTCATTCTTCAATAGACACGCGGTCAGAGTCCTAGTCTCCTTCGTTAGTAAAATGGGTCTTATGGAAAGGCCATCGATTGCCAATCTCCAGTAGGGGAAGAAAGGAGAAGAAAATAGTATTGGTAGGTGCGTAGATATCAAATCAAATTGTGCGCACGTTTCGTATCAAATCAAATTGTGCGCACGTTTCGTATCAAATCAAATTGAAAAAAACCTTTTGGAATTTTGGTGTTTGAAATCAAATAAATATTGTGTTGGAATTTGGTCTCCTTAGCTCTTTTGGAGATCGTACATTCCTTTTTCTTTTCTCTTTTTTTTTTTCTATTTAGAATGATGATTGTGAAACTAGTCTTGTCTACTCACTCCAAGTTCTTAAATTATTTTATCTTACTCAAAATTCTATTTTCAATATTATTAATACAAAACAGTAGAAAATAGAAAAGTTTATTCTGTATAGATAAACGAGAACAATTTTATTTATATGAATGATTTTTTGGTTAAACTAAAAATTAAGTCATCTAACATTTTAAGAAATGCATGTCATAATTAAAATGATTTCGAAAAATCTAAAAACACTTTGAAAATATTTTTAGAAAAGACCCTAAAAAAATTTAATACTAAAAACTATTTCACTTGAAAATAGTATTAAAAAAATAATCTTAAATCAATCCAACTTTAAGTATTGATCAATAAAAAGAATTTAATAACTATAATTATGATGCTCTGTTTAGAAACAAAATCATCTTTTAACACCTCACACTTAAAAAGAGAAATAATACATGAATAAACCCACACCCACATTCGAATTTTAATGAGAGGGATTTTGAGATCATGCAAAGAATAGTTAAAAAAAGAGAAAAAAATTAAATTGATAGTGATGATCTATGCCAACAAGAAGTTCATATTCTTTTTTGAYGACTACTCCAAAATCAAAATTAAGTGTGCTTTTGAAATTGTGTTGACCTGTACGYGAGGACAGTACTTAATATTTCCAACCAACTCAAGTCTAGTATATGTCACAACCAGGTCGTAGGGGATGCAAGGAAATGCTGGAGCTACCCAATGTCGAATTTGAATTCGAAGATTTTGAACCTAGACATGAGGCGTTATACATAAACTAATAAAAACAAATAATATTAGAGATCAAATTACAGTCAATTGAAGAAGGAAAATCACGATGGAAAGATTAATGTCACACATCAAGAAAATTTAGAGAAGATTAACATAGCTTATCTAGGCCCTAAAGTTTCCACCACGAAAATGTAGGTTTTAGGGAGTAAATTGCGAATATAGCTAGAAAATTTTAATACGATAAATCAACCTGCACTTTCCAGATCAGTCCAGAAGGGAAAAAAAAAAAGATTATTATTAGTTATTATTATTATCAATACAATTATTAATTTTCGTACCAACGAAGAAAAATTTGAAACGCTAGCTAGCTGCATGCCCACATAGGGGATAGGGTTATATCCTATTGGATTTCTTATAATTAATAATGTTTTTTTTTTCTATTTTGTTAAAAGTATTTATATTGGTAGACAATCAATTCCTCTTTGGACTATACTGGCCAGTTAGTGCCACGGCCACTAATGAAAAGGAAAAACAAAACCAAAAGGGACTCCTAAGATCTTGACAAACTAGGCTTCACCAATATTAATTATTTTGACCTGTCTAATCTTATATTATACACTCCCTACCATAACATATATTTGAAAATGTTAAGCCAAGCACAACTCAATGATAATTCACATATATCTCTAATATCTCTAATCAAGATCAGGGTGTCAGTTCGATCTCTCCCCCTACATATTGTACTAAGAAAAGATATATTTTAAAGTATACCTAAGAGAGACCCATTATCATTGGTACTAAAGTTCATGATTCGATTCCTATTTAGCCAAAATTGTTGAAGTAAAAAAGAAAAACACATTTATTTTTTAATCTTTAGAACAATTATGATCTTTAGGGTCTTTTAGTGTTTTGAATTGTTTAATTTTTTCTTAGTACAACATGTGGGAGTGGGGATTGAACTCACAACCTCTTATGCTAATTACCATTTAGTTATGTTCGTTTTGACATAGAAATGTTATATTTGTTGGAATAATATGTAGAGAAAACTTAAGGAAACACAAAATTAAAAATCCGAACCCAACGTAGCGTTGTTTCCTTAAGACAATTTTGTTCCCTCTACGGTACTCAAGGTTTCATGAACAATTGTTTCCCGGGATATGACGGATATACCAACCCGTGAATGCAGCACTCAGCGAACTCACAGTATTTAAGTATTCGTACAGAGGAAAAGAGAGAAATGTGAGGGATGATTTTTCTATGTTGCAAAACTGAGAAGGACCATGTATTTATAGACTATCTGTGGCCATTCAAATAATCATATCTTTTTAGGTAAAGTTATGTCTTTGGATAAAATGACATAAGCTTTACAAAAGACGAACCAGTTGATGAAAAATTGTGATTCTTCAATTTTAACAAAAAAAAAAAATTATTCAAAAAACTCCAACAACATTTTGGCATGCAATAGAATGAATAAGCCTAAAAATAGATATATGATACACTTTTGAAAGTTCTTAAAATATTAAAATAAATATATCAATTTCATCAACATATATGATGATTACCATAGAGATTAAGAAAAAAAGTAAATTAATTAGTCTAATCTCAAGTACGTTGCACTTGGATATATACATTATTATAATATAATTTAAATTCGAAAAATAATTTGAAATTGCATCTCTTCAAATTAATTTTCGTTTGTGTTGGGAGATACCTTATCTTAGCTAAAAAGGAGGAAAGAAGATAAGGCAAAGTATTATTTATAATGGGAGATTTAATATTAAGTGGTGTGGATATACTTTTTTTCAAAAACAATAATGATAAGAAAGTGAGAAATTAGGGTTTTGCAAAAAATATTTTGGAGTGATTGACAAAGGACAATAGTGTGTGCCAAATGTAAGAGCCCAACCCAACCCACTTTCTTAGCCTACATTGTTTGTTTCCTAAATAAAATATGCAATCTAACTTTTAAATTTGATATGCATCGAAATCTCATATTCACTTTCTAACTCTTTCTTTGTACTTTCCCTCCCATCCTTCTCATTTCTTCCACATTATTTTATAATATGATCATAAAAGTCTTTAATTAATCAACAAAAGGGAGGACTAAAGTGGATGGTGGAAAAAGATCTTCTATATTTTTTATTAGAAAAAAACTGTTTTGCTCGTTTAATTTAATCATGTTCTTCATTTAAACAGAATTACTTAATTTAAATCAAATAATGAGTTCTCATTCCTGCTCAATTCATGCCATGAACCTTTTTCTACTACGATCATTGACAAATTTCTAATCTATTTAAGAATTGGCGTTTTCGATAATTTTAATGACTGCATAAACATCCTTTTGATTTATTAAAAATAATCCGATTAGGATGCTCAACTAAATCTATTGCTATGATTTATGGTACCGATAAAATAGAAGACTATTAGGTAAATACTATCAAATTGAATAAAAAATTGATTCTCTTTCCTTATTTTCTGTT